GGGTTTAGGGTTTAGGGTTTACTTTCTTGAGCCGCCTAACAACCTTGGTCTTCATGAATTCCACCTTTGTCGCGTCGTGAATCCGGATGCGGTCGTCGTGCGCAGCCGTTGCTGCAAACAGCAAACCCTAAACCCTAAACCCTAAACCCCGTAAACCCTAAACCCTAAACCCCAAATCCTACACAACAAAACTTAAAACTACTCGGTAAGCTGTCAGCATAGAGCCTCCACGCCCAGAGCCAAGGCACCAGGCCCTAGCCCCTAGACACAGAACTCTAAACCCTAAACCCTAGAAACCGAAGCCTAAACCCTAAACCCTGAACCCTAAACCCTAGGTACCAAACCTCTGAACACCAAACTCAAAACTGAAGTTTCACATCTTGCGCTTAACAGTATTCACCTCTTGCCGTGCACACAACCAGATGCGCAGAACCTTCAAACCTAAACCCTAAACCCTAAACCCTCAAAACAAACCTATCAGGGTTTTGTCGCTGTTTAGGGCCAGTCGCTCCACCGGGTTGTCGTGCCGTCCGTGCCCCGCCAAAATTCCTAGATCACAAACCCTAAACCCTAAACCCTAAACCCTAAACCCTAAAACGTATCATCTAAGCCCTAACTCCAAATCGATCAAACAATCAAATCCCACGAGCGATATTTTCCTTGAGGCGTCACATGAAATCCTTGCCGCCCCAGACCCCAAAACCCAGCCTGTGGACCTAAACCCTAAACCCTAAACCCTACCTGCTAGTCTATTGGGGTGCAGCTGCACCACGCGTACACATCCATCGCCGCAGCCCGCAAGAAGAGTGTCTTCGTCAAATTTCGCCTGCAAACCCAAACCCTAAACCCCGTGCCTCAAACCCTAAGCCCTAAACCCTGAGCCCTAAACCCTAAACCCTAAACCCTAAACCCTAAACCCGGTGCCATACAAAAGCTCCACAACTTGTCCTGGTCGAGAAAGGGCAGCAGGTGGAACAGCTGCCTGAATCATGGCGCCTGCAAAGCTAAACCCCAACCGTGAACTCCAAAC